CCGAGGAGGAGGCGGGGGGAGGAGGAAAAAATTAGCAGCTGCTGCGCAGGTAACGCCCGCCGGTCTTGAAATATAGAATAATATAGAATGTATAATAGGGGATTTAACTTTTTTGACTGTGCTGCTGCAGTGGTTTCCTCTATCTTATGTTCTTATTCCCTTTTCTGCCCTCTTCATTCTCTTGTTCTTCATTATTTTTCTTTGTTTTTCTGTCTCCTATGTACTGGGCCCTGGATTGATACCTCACATTTCTTAGATTCTCTTCTCTTACGTCTATCTTGCCCAGGGACTTTTTTTTTTTTTTCCTTTTTTTTTCTGCATACATCTGTGTATATGTACATAAATTAAAATGGTTTAGTCTGAGAATATTGGACCTTTTAGCCAAACTGCCTGTAAAAATGGATGTTTCAGTGTTGTCTAACATCTCTAAAGCAAACAATTTGCTGTATCAACAAAAGAGCAACAGAACCCAATAAAACTTGATTTGGTGTCACTTGTCTCAATGGTGAGTTGCTATGCAGATTTTCTAGGCATTTGTGATTTCAAATTACTGCCTTTCTTTGAGAATAACCATTTATTTTTAAGGTCTTTCTAAGAACTTCATTGTTTCTGCACTTAAGAAAAAAATCTGTTGTTGTTGTTGGGTGTTTTTTCTGACTTATTGGCGTCCGCTTTTATATTTTTCTCATTCACACTATTTCTGGGCCAAGTGAAAAGTCCGGTGAGGGGAACTGGTAGCAGGGATATTAGAACTCACTGCTTTGGGTCATACAAGTCACAGTGGAAGAACCTCAAACATTGAATGTATGGACTAGTTCTCTGCTTATATTAACAAGATTAAAAAAAAAAAAACTTTAGTTCCAGTTTAATCAAGGAAATGAATGAAGAAAGGAGCTACCTAAAGAAGAATCTCTGTTAATTCATAGGACGATACTGTATTTCACCTTTAGAAAATGATGATATCAAGTCTGTGTTAAAAGCAGCTTTTGATGGACTGGCATTTACTAAATAATTGCCTGCATGGAAGGCTTAAAGCAATAACCAAGAATATTTGCCAAATACAATCATAGATTTTAACTGCTAGAAAATAAATGTTGGAAGAATGGATGCCTCTTACTCCTCTTCTCTGTATTTTGTTGCTATCTACTAGAAATTCCTTGTACGCTTCACAGGAAACCACCGTGGAAAACAGGGGCATTAGTTTCATGGTGAATTCTGGAAGGACTTCTGGACTTGTAGAGGAAAACAATTTTTGGATTTCTACACAAAAATAACAACTTAAGCAGCCTTCTCAAATATAATTTTTTTTCTAAAGTAGCTATCCAAGAGAACATTTTCTATTATATTTATTACAGGAAGGAGTAGCCATTTCTTTTTATTTTCAGGTACTGACATATTAACCTCGTCCCTCTACTCAACATGGCAAAGAAATCGGAGGCTCCTCTTTCCTTAACTGACTGTCTCTGCCAAATCTGCATGGAGATCTTTGTGGAGCCCGTGACGCTGCCGTGCAATCACAGCCTCTGCAATTCCTGCTTCCAGCTGACAGTGGAAAAGGCCAGCCTGTGTTGCCCCTTCTGTCGCCGTCGAGTGTCTTCCTGGGCGCGATACAACGCCCGCAGAAACACCCTCATCAACTGGGACCTCTGGGAGAGGATTCAGAAGAAATACCCCCAGGAGTGCGAGCGCAGGATTAACGGGCAGGATTTGGAAGATGAAAGTAAGTGAAAATGTCACTTCCTCCAGGATGTCTTTGCGTTATTAGTATTAGTGGACTTTGGATGTTTTGAAATAAAGTATGCTTGGACAGCTGTGTGATTGATAGAAAATTCTGGAGGGTGTCAGAGCTCTTTTAAAGGGTACTTAAAGGTACAGAAATGTTCATGTCTTTTTTTCCTTTCCTATTGCAGAGAGGGTAGGTTATGTTGTCTTATGTCTTTGTAAGTGGATGTTTGTTGTTTCTTTACACAAAATGTTGGCACATGGCTCGTGGTCCATGCAAAGACAGTAGTTCACTATTAATTTACAGATTTTGCAGCTGAAGTTGTATGAGGGTCAAGAGTGTTTTCTATCACTAAAGCATATTAGATAAAAAAGTGAAGCATTGAAAACTATTCCAAGTCTTAGATGCTCCCGTTTATTATCTGATTGCAAATCCAGTCTATCCATGAATCTCCAGAGATACCTAAAATGGAGATGTGAGATGATAGGAAGGAAATCTGATCAATGCCTTGGGGAAGGGGAAGTCTTAGTCTCTCTTTGGTCTTTAGTAGACTGTTTCTAAACTTGGTATACTTGCAGTGTTATGTGATTTAATCTCTGTATGTATGTGTGTGTATATATATATATATGTATGTATAATTTTGGCTTTGTTTTCCTTTTCTTCCTCTCTGAATAAGTCTGCGTGTCCCAGCCACAGCACCAGCTGAGCAAGCCCGGGGAACTGAGACAAGAATATGAAGCAGAGATTAGCAAGGTGAGTCTAAAAAATGTTTTCTGAAAGTTGAGGGGTTTTGTATCAATTACTTGTATCAATTATTATCAATAGTTACCAGTAGGTAGCTATGATGAGGATATAATTTTACACAAGGTCAAACATAATAAAGTGTATAAAGTGCTGTGACTGTTGATGCTCTTCTGCCAAGAGAGCTTCCAGATTCACTATGTGGTTCAAGAAAGCTTTGTTTAATTCTTTGAGTTTTGGACTAACATAAGTGATTTCTGAAGTGGATATCTGACAGAAGGAAGGCAGGTAGGTTCTTGCCCTGCTGCTTTGAATTTTGCACGTTCCAAGAAAATATAAGGGCACAGAAGAGATCTGCGCTGTGCTCCAGGCTTCTTTGTGAATATCTGGAGTTAGGAATATAGAAACAGGTTGAACAACCATTGCAGTCTAGCTCTCTTCTATCCTTAAAGAGGCTTAATTTGAATTTCATCCATGTATTTGCATGTTGCTGACTGTGGTTAGTAACACTCATTTACTCGCATTCTAAAAATGCATTTCATCTTGCTTATTAACAAGGTTAACAGTATAAGATTGTAAGACCAAAAAAAAAGGTTATGAAATTGATGCTCTGCAGAGGGTCTTGCATGTTTGGAGTGTTCAGTAATTAAATATTGGCCTTGAAGGAAGTGCACAGTGTGGCTGGGTGAGTAGTGGATCGTTTGTTCACATTTGAAGCGTGTCACATGTGAGGTTCTGCTATGAAGTTTGGTCCTACAGAAGTAACTATATATATATATATTTAAAGGTGGAAGCAGAAAGGCGAGCACACGAACAAGAGGAAAATAAAGCAAGTGAGGAATATATTCAAAAGCTGCTAGCGGAAGAGGAGGAGGAGCAGAAGTTAGCAGAAGAGAGGAGGAAGGAGTTGGAAAAGCAGCTAAAGCAAGATGAAGAGCTGGCCTGGCAGCTGAGTAACAGTCTGGTGAGTTAAGATCAAGGGTCATACTAGAAAATGTTCATTTAGTGCAAACAGCTTGGAGTCGTCAGAGCCAAAGTCAAAATTCTGAGTAATTTAAACTGATTTTGAGTTGTAGTAAGAAGCTGTTGTTGGCCCTCAGTACTCTGAATCCTTGAATGACCATTAGTTTTTTGAAGGAAAGTTGCCGGGGGGACTATCCTAAACATCCTGATGTTTCATACGTACTTGAAAATCCTTCTGGAAACTTTCAGAGTGGAAACATTTTCAACATTGATATTTTTTTTTCCTAACGAGTATTTTTAAAATCAAGGGAGAAAGGGAGAAAAACATCTGTAATCTATACTGAGAAAAGGAAAATGCAATTGTATTTAACAATGCTTAACAAGGGAGAAAAACATCTGTAATCTATACCGAGAAAAGGCAAATGCAATTATATTTGAGAAGGCTTAATTTGTGGTATTTTATTTTTGCTACCTGACAATACTTGTAATGATAAAACTTGAAGCTGTACTTCTCAAACAAAATCCTTTGTCTCTTAATGCCAGATATAGGAAAGTGTATGCGGCATGTAACACTTCAACTATCTAATAATTCCTGTTTTGTGAATTCCTTGGACAATAGTAACCAATTTTATGACAGAAATTTTCTAGTTGGTGTTTTGCTTTCTTTTTAATATAAAAAATTATTTTTACTTTTGAAGAATGAAGACCCTAGGGGAAGTGGGCTCAGCAGTCCCTCACCAGTGGGTACTTTCTCATCTGAAGGATCTCCAGTTAATATGTGCAAGGTGAAGAACAAATCAAACAGCTCTGGGGATATTCAGAAGTAAGTGGTCAAAGTTTCTTATATTCAATAATTATATCGCTTAATTCAATAATTATAGAATAGAGATATAATTATCTCTTTCTTGGTGGACTGCAGCTGTGCTCCATTTGCTTCCTTGGGATCTTGCAGTCCTGCTTCCCTAGATCATCTGGGGCAAATGTGGGCCGTTGAAACAATTAGCGTTAAAATATTAAAATATTTCCTTGGAGGACAGTATGTCGGGCAAGGGAGACTGCCTTGATCCCCCTGCTTTTGTATGTCAGCACAAATATCTTGCCTAATGAAAGGGGAGTTGTATTTCAAGAAAAAATGCGTTTTTAATGGGTATACTTTTTTTCCTTTAAGGTATCTGTCTTCAAAGTCTCATCCTGTGTTGGGATCAGCATCGTGCTCTAGAGTAACAGAAAGAGGCAGGGCTGACTCTTGCTCTCTGGTAACTAGAATTTTTTAATTTTATTTTTGTAAGTTTCAGTGTTGGTAACTTGATTTTTCCCACTTTCCTTGCAACGATGTGTATCAGCACTGGGGAATATCTTTCCCTTTTTGAACTGTTCAGTATTCATGATGGCCAAAAGTGGAAAGGGAAGAAGCCGTGTTTGACAGGCAGCAGCCACGAACCCGCTGGTTATTTAGATGGTTAGCTCATATACCTAAGCAGAGATTCCAGTTAATTACATTTTATCCTGGTGGGATATCTGGGTTTTCTCATTTCATGGGTAATCACAGGTTCAAAGACAATTTGGCTTTGAGTTTTTCCTCTGCAGCTTTTGGCTGGTTTTATATGCCTTGTTCTCCCTTATTTTGGTCCTTCAAGAAAATGCTAATACCTGCTACAGTTGGTTGGAGTGAGGGATAAGAGAGGAGAATGTTGCAATTCCTCCAGTTCTTAAGCTGGGCTTTTTTTGTAGATTGTTTAAAATATTTATAATAACTGTATTTTTAAGAATCCAAGTTAATATCTCAAAGTAGTAATGAGCAGCGCACTTAGACATAGAGTTTGCCTTTTATTCATACTGCCTGTTTTTTGCTGAATTAATTTCACTGGGGGGTGTCTCTTCAGGAAAGCAATAGCAGCGAAAGTGGTGCCTCCGCATGGCGAGATGAGCAAGAGGAAATGCCAACACTGTCCCCCCAGCTCCCCGGCGTGACCAAAGATCGCAGTGGGACTGATTCATTTTTAGAATCCTGCATGAGCTACTTAAGTGCCTCGGCAGCAGCAGAGCTGGCTGCTGATGAGCAGGAAAAAACACCAGGACCAAACCCTGCAGAAGGTGAAGTTCCAGATGCACTTTGTGAAGCCACGAAAGAGAAAGGGTCTGGAGCAAGGAAAGGAGAAACAAATGGGCTTGAGTCAGATGGTGCATGTGCACCACTAGAGCATGTGGAAATTCTGAACCTTGAAAACTTGACTTCAGATGTTTCCAGGGTGTCTGACAGCAGAAATGGGATTGGTGGTTTCCTTAAGGAGGCTGGAAAACCAGATGAGGAGCAACAAGATAGAGAAGAGAACCCTAAGGAGCCTCCAAAAAGAAAGCTGGGAGAAGCACCAGCTGAATCTGTGGTTGACTTGGGTTTGCTTGACAAGAGGAGGAGAACTCTTCCGGAAGCTTTGGAGGACCAAGGGGCACAGTTAAATGATTTTAACATGCAAATGCAGAAAGCTTTTGAGCAGGAGCTCTATGAAAGGCGTATGCAAGAGGAGCAGGATAGGCTTCTGGCTCTGCAGCTGCAAAGGCAGATCAACAAGGAGGAGGGGACGCTGAATCGACGGAAGGGCTCTCCAGACGAGTACCATCTTCGCACCAAAACACCACCGTCTATGAAAGACTCTCTTGCTAGAAAGGGAAGTTTAAAGGGGGCAAAGGACTCGAAGCTACCAAAAAAACAAGCTGAAGCAAATCACCGCAAGGCTCGGAAAGGTTCTTGCAATGAAAACTGGCAGTCCCCTACCAGACTCCGGATGAAATCGCCCAGCATCAAAGGGGGAAAAGTTTTGAATTGTGTCGTTAATACCAGTGACTCGAATGATATTTGTTCGTTAGCAAAAAATAAGCAAAAGACCATCCTTCAGATGTTCAAAGGATCTGTTGCAGAGTAGCTCAACAAAACTATGGAAGCATGGTGAAATGATTGAGAGATTAAAGCCATCATAATGCTTTTTCTTCTGTTAGGCAAAACTTTCCGTCAAGTTTTAAAGCTGATGGTTTTGAATGGGGGATCACTTAGGGCCTCAAGTGCAACCAGAATTGTGTTCTTTGCAGAAGCCCCCAGACGTTAACAGTTTTAATTGCTCTGTTTTCAACTGCCACTTATTTTCTAGCACCGTTTTTATGTACATAGTTTTGAATGTAAATGCTATTTAAGAAAAGGTTTCTTTTTGGTTATCTTTAGAATAAGAAATGAGAACTTTTCCAGTGAAAGGCACCTTTCTCATAAAAAACAAAAACAAAAACAAACAAAAAAAAAACCTCACCAGCTGGGCACAACCATGTTGAACTGAAGCAAACTGCTGCAATTTAGGTTGTTGCTGAAGGGTGTTGCTGGCCTGGCCATTATTGAGTATTACCAGACAACTGGCCTTGCGGATCTGCTCTCTCCCGCTCACTGTAACACACTACTAGCCTCATTTTTAGACAAAGAAGGAAAACTAGCTCATCCTCCCCCTGTAAGGGGCTGTGGGCTTTTATCTGCCTCAGCTCGCAAGGGCTTCTTCTGCAAATTGGACGTTCATTGGAGCTGGGGAGATACGCTCTTGTTGTGCTTATGTTCTCGAACTTCTTCGTGCTGTGATAATATTACTGATATTTACTGCTATCTAACTTTCTTCTGATCCTGGTTTGAGTTGGATTAAAAGCATATAGTATGTATTAAAAACTGAAAAATAATAATAATAATAAAAAAAAAAGCACAGACCTCCTCCAGTGGAGAAAATAAATCCGGGCAGGGGCGAAGGGGAGCAGAAAAGCTGAAAACGTGAATTGTTGATAGTGAAGTAACAAGTACAATTAAGAATTGATTTAATATTCAGCTTAACCTTAGCGCCTGGGTCTGTGTATGACTGTTTTTTTATTTTCTTTTTTTCCCTTTTAGGGGAACAAATACTGTCTTCCGCGTGGCTTAAAAATGTAATGTTGTTCAAATAAATAACGTTTTGGACACCGTGCAAGAAAGGTGACGTTATAAAAGTTTTGGCCTGTGGAGGGGAGCTTGCTTCCAGGCAGCAGGCTCTTGTGTTTCTTTTGCTGCTGGTAGTATGAAAGGGTGTAACAATGTGTAACAAAGTACTCCCAGAGGCATTGTGTGATGGTCACTGCAAGTGACAAACACAAGGGGGGGAGCTGAGTGGGAACTCCGTGAAGTAAGTGAAATAATTTTGGAGCTCCGTTTGGGGAAATGTATACAAAAGAACGGGGTTGGGGTGGGGGGAGAACGTTCCCTTTCCCTCGGGCTCCTGCCTGCCTGCTGTGAGGCGGCTCCGCCTCGGGGCGAGT